AGGGCTGGGCGGGCACGGGAGGCCGGGGCTGGCCGCAGGCAGCAGCGCCCGGCCGAGGGGCAGAGCCCGCGCCAACCCTTCCCTCTACCGCTCTCTCCAGCTGGCACAGGACAAGAACCGAGCAGCCGAGCACCTGTGCCGGGCCCTGCCGTACCTGGACAGCCCACAGGAGCCGCTGCGAGAGGCGGCCGTCAGGTTCCTCGGTGAGCCACGAACCCGGGCTGGCTCCCTCCCCGCCACAGCTCGGCCCCAGCCCCGGCTGCTGCCCCGGCAGCGACACCCGGGCCCGGCGCCCTGGAGCCCCGGCTGCCCTCGGGGCTGCTGCTGCCGGCCTCTGGCAGCCGTGCCCTTGGGCTGAGTCAGGATGCGGCAAGGGCCCGGGCTGAGCCCTGCCGGGGCGGGAGGCCGTGTGGCCACAGGGCTGCAGCGCCGCTGGCAGGGAGCTGTGCCGCTGGGGCCCTGACAGGCTCTGTGTTCCCAGGGATGGCCGGGGAGCAGCTGAGGGGGCAGCAGGAAGAGCTGCAGACCCTCATCGCGGGTGAGTGAGGGCAGCGGGCAGTGAGGGGCTGGCACTGGGGGATCTGCAGTGCCCGGGCAGGGAGCTGTAATCCGTGCCCCGGCTTCAGAGGGCTTCTCTCCCTGTGTGGACACCTTGGTGGTGTGGGAATATCACAGAGAGATTTCAGCGACATGGGGCAGGGATTTGGGTGGGGTGTGGATTCGTGACCAGGACCTTGCAGCTGATCCTGTTGGCCTCTTCACTCTTGTGGCCACGGCAAGAGCAGGCTGGGATGGCTCTGGCAGGACTTTCTCCTAGGATTCCCACAGATCTGGGCTCTGATCGTGGCTCTGTACCCCTCTCTTCCAGCACTTCAAGCTCTAAAAAGAGATGACAACCCTTCTGAGAGAAACACAGTTCTTCAGCAGACGTTTATTGAAAGAACTGCAGAATTACGCTCGTCTGCTGGCTTACGAAACCAGTCTTCATGTAAGATGCTACGGATGATGAGGCTACGCTGAGACCAGAAGAGACCAGCTGGAGCTCCAGGCACTGCTGGCAACTGGCCCAGCTGAGCCTGTGGGAAGCTCGCATGGCTTCAGCCCTCTCCCTGCCTCTAGATAGCTCTGTCCCTGCAGCCCTAAGACACTGCCCATCCCTTCTCTTTCCCTCCAGTTTCCCTCCCTTTTGATAGCTCCCTCCCTGCAGCCCTGAGACACTGCCCATCCCTTCTCTTTCCCTCCACCCTCCCTCCCTTTTGATAGCTCCCTCCCTGCGGCCCTCAGACACTGCCCATCCCTTCTCTTTCCCTCCACTCTCCCTCCCTTTTGATAGCTCCCTCCCTGCAGCCCTCAGACACTGCCCATCCCTTCTTTTTCCCTCCACTCTCCCTCCATTCTGATAGTTCCCTCCTTGCAACCCTCAGACACTGCCCATCCCTTCTTTTTCCCTCCACTCTCCCTCCCTTTAGACAGCTCCCTTCTTCCAGCCCACAGACCTTGCCCATCCCCTTTTTTGCCCCTCAGCTCATCCCTTTGCTTCGCATCCCATCAATAAACAGTTTGCCTTTTTCACTTTACCTGCATCTCTGTGGAGTTGAAGGGTCACAAATCCAGAGCACTGTGACACTCAGGCCCCTCCTGCCGTTCTCTCCTGCGCTGTGTTTTGTGCAGAGACGCAGAGGAACGAGCACAGATCAGGCTGGAAAGGTCCCTGTGCTGAAGGTCCAGTTCCACAGCACTGTGGAGTTAAAGGTTTAACTGAGCACCCTGAAGGCCTTGGATTTTGGAAGAGCCAAGCTGAGTATGCCCTGAAGCCGGCTGTGGGGGATTCTGTGGCAAGCATGCACAGAGGGCAAAGGAGCTTGGAATGCCTGAGTCTTTCTAGAACAGCTTCCTGAAAGCACAGCAATGCTCCATCCCTGGACAGGATCAGGAAGAGGGCAGAACTGTTAGAGCCAGCAGAGAGATGGGGACTTCAGATGGCTCTTCTTTAGAATGCTGTTTATTCTATCGACTAGATTACAGCAGGGGGTCGTGGGTCAGCCTACAGCTGCTGGCTACAGGCAAGCCCTGTGTCCTGAAGCCCACTTAGTTCTGCTTACAGTGCATTATATCACTTTCTTTTGCTGTCTGTATCATTGCATAACAACCAATCAGCATCATACACAATACCTTTACATGTACATATATTCTATCAAAACTGCTAAAATTACCATACTATGTTAGTGATGTCGTGGTTTTAAACCACTAACTAAGAAAATTACTTACTTCTTGCTGTGAGATATGGATTAGAATAAGAGCAAAACAGGCATACA